TCGTCGTCGTCGTCGTCGTCGTCGGGGGCCAGCGCCTCAATGTCGTGCGTGATGTCTGCCAGCAGCCGGTGGAAGGTCTGCTCCTCGGGCCGCTGGGCCGCGCCGTCGTAGCTGCGCACAGCGGACGCCGACGTGGAGCTCATGCTGCGCTTGATGCGGCCGAAGCTGTCGGTGAGGATGCCGCCCTCGCGGATGCCCACGCCCTCCAGGAAGCCCTCGAAGTAGCCAATGTCCTGGTCCTGGATGAAGGGCCGCATCCCTGCGGGCCAAGGGGCAGGTGACTCCTGGGGGTTCAGCCCCTTCGCCTCCCACAGAGGGGTCACCTTCGCTGGAAATCCGGGTTCAGGTCCCGCCCACCCCTCACCGGCTGTGTGGCCTTGCACAAGTTCCTTGACTCTGAGCCAGAGAATAATGACAGATTTCGTGGTTCCCGGTACATGCTCTTTGCACGTTAGCTTATTATTGCTACATCCCCATTATGGAGTTGTGTGACCCTCATTAAATAACTACTCTGGGCCCTGGCTGGTGGCTCAGTGGGTTGGAGAGTTTTTGATATGCCAGGGTTGCAGGTTCCAACCCTGATCAAGGCGTATGCAGGAGTCAACCAATGAATTCATGAAGTCAATGTTTCTCCCTCTTCCCCTCCCCCCCCCCCCCGCCCCGTTTAAAATCAATAAATTAAAAAAACACACAAAGCTCTTCAGAGCTTTACTTTCCTCCAGGGTAAAGTTGAGATAAGCACACACCTTCTCCTGGTAGGTTTGTTAGGATTAAATACGGTTCTCAACACACACTGAGTGCCCCGTACAAGTGAGCTCATTTCAGCCCCGTCACTAACTATGTGACTTCAGCACTTTGCTTCTCTGAGCATCAGTCTGCTCATCCCCAAAATCGGGGGTAAGTAATCGTTTCCACTTCCCAGAACTGAGGCCATTCAATGAGGTGATGCTTGGCACATGGTAATAGCCAAATACATGCTAACTTAGTAACAGGATCATCCCGCTGTTGTTTTACTAGCCCTCCTCACTAGCTGTGTGACCTTGAACAAGCTCCTTAGCCTCTCTGAGCCTTAGCTTCCTCAGGGGGTCAGACGGGAAGAATCCTTTCCTTTCCCAGGTTTGCTGTGAAGATGGAATGGTTATACCATTGCTTTGTTCTTACTGACGTTGTGACTGCAGGCAAGTCCCTTCTCTCTGCACCTCGGTCTTCTCATTTGCTCCCTGGATCTCATCATCTTGGCCTTATCAGAGGCTGAGAGATAAGCAACAAACACTCCGGGCCTGGAGACTGACCAGGAATGTCATGACCATGCAGGGGCCTTGGCTGACCTTTGGGCGGGGGGCGGGAGGGCTCACCGAGGAGGAAGAACTTGCGCCGGTCTCCATAGAGCTTCAACAAGCCCGAACAATAGTCCTGGATGGGCAGCCCCAGCCTGTACTCCCGCAGCAGCAGGGCAAACTGCTGGATCTCGAGGGGGCCCAGCTTACTCCGCAACTGTGGGGACACCATTCGAGATCAATCCCAGGAAGCACCCCGATCCAACCCCTTCCTGAAAGGCCCAGAGCCCTCTCTAAGGGCATAGCTGGCCCAGCCCGCCTCTGAAAATGCTCGCTGACCTTAGTTTAGGCCTTTCAGCAAGCTGGCCTCAGTATACTCTCCTAACTTCATGTCCCAGTCATGTCCAAGATTATTTATGATTCCTGAAATAACCTATGTTTCCTCCAATTTCTAGGCCTTTGCTTGTGCTGTCTGCACTGGTGCCCCAGCTCACCGTGACCATGTAATCCTGCAATTGCTCCAGGCCCAAGGCGCTGTGGTCGCTGCCGCTGCAGTGGGAGTCATGGAAAGAGGGTGTGGAGGTGCCGCTGTAACACGCTTCAAATGTGTCCTGGGAGCCATTGCTGCAGGGACAAGCAGAAAGGGGTCCTCACTCATCTCTCTCCAGCTCCTCTCCTGCCATGGGTGGAACGTGGGAGGGCATAGCTACCAGTGCTCTGGGCCTGAGGCCTCATCCTAGGTCCCATTTTCTCCTTCAAGGCCCCACATTATCTGGCTGCCTCTCAAGCCTCTTCTCACTCTTGCTGTTTGTGCTCAGGCCACCCTGCCTTCCTTTCCTCTAATACTCCAAGTACCTCTTTACCTCTGGGCCTTTGCACATTCTGTTCCATCATCCTGGAATATCTTTCTCCCCCTATCTTTTGCTCAGCTAATTCTTATTCATCACTGGATTTTATTTTATGTTTTTTATTTTTTTTGAGAGTACATTTATTAAAGCTGGGGACAGTGAAACAAGAACAGGCCTAGGATAGAAGAAACAGGGGAGACTAGCTGGGGTTGCTTTGGCTCTCTAGAAATTTTATGAGAAAAAGGTGAGCCAAGGTGGGGCTGCTGTCAGCTCACTGGAGTCAGAGAAAAGAGGCCTTGGAGACAGGTTCAAGGGGTTAACCTGGGACAAGCTGCCACTGCCCATGCTCCCTGGTTGCAAGCCTCTTGGGGTCCCTTAGAGTTTAGGAGATGCATGGGCCTGCTCCAGGGAGGGAGAGTACCTAGATTTTAAATGTCATCTTCTCAGGAAAATTTTCCCCGATCCCCCCCAGACTGGGTTAGACCCTCTATCAAATGAGGTCACAGAGTCTACTCATGACATGCAAGGACTTTCCAGATCTCACCAAACATTCTCTCTGACCATAGTCACTGCCACAGTCACAGGGGCCTCCTGCTGATCCTCAAACACACCCAGCTTTATCCTGCTTCAGAATCCGTGCACTTGCTGTGCCCTCTCCCAGAATGCTCCTTCTCCAGGTCTCAGTTCCAGTGTCATCACCTCTGAGAGGCCTTCCTGGCACTCTGAGCTTCTCTTTAGTGCTTATTATCATTAATGCTCATTACTATTAAATAATGACTTCTTTGTCACTTGTGCTAGACTGTAAACCATGCAAGAGCAGGGAACTTGTGTTTCTTCGTTTGTTGTGTACCTACTATGTGTAAAGCATGGGTGCTATCCTTGGTCTTGTTCCCCACTGTATCCCTAGCACACAGCACAGTGCCTGGCAATAAATATTGCTTAATAAAAAGTCAACCTGCCTCCCCTGGTCTTTACCTTTTCTATTACCTACAGAGAAGCAGTGAAGTATGGTGGAGAGATTTTTTTTTCTTTTTTTAATCCTACATTTTCCAGCCTTCCTACTTGTAGCCAGCCATGTGACCAAGTTCTGGCCAATGAGATGTAAGCAAACATTGCCAGTGGGAATTCAGCAAAGCTCTTTAAAGAGGCCCCTGGCATGCTGCCCCCCTGGCTGGAGCTATGACCACCTTCTTGGGACATGAGGTGGCCTTCACGATGGAAGTAAGTGCTGAGGAGGGAGGAAAAGAGAGGCCTGGGCCCCTAGCAACCACGAGACCATGCATGAAATGCTGGCCTAATATTTTATGTAAAAGACAGGGGAGAAACGCTCCATCTTGTTTAAGCTATTCTTCTTTTTCAGGGTTTTCTATTACATGGAGCCTCAACTAAAATAAACCAAAACGACTCTTTGGCGTTAGCTGTGGTTTTGGACTTTGCAGGCCACTCAGCCTGGATGACTAGGAGAGAACCACAGGCCTACGTGGACCCACTTCCTAGGTCTCTCAGGGTATGAATCCTCTGAGCTCATCAGAGTTCAGTTTACCTCCCACCCTAATGCCCAATGTCTCAGCACAAATCAAAGCGGGGTCACTTTCTCCCACTTTTCTTACCCACAGGGGGTTCAGGAATG